TCAGTTCATTAGTGTTCAATGCATCAGATTTATTCTTGAGACGGTCTGTAAATTCAGGTGGGATATATTCAAGGTCATACTTTGGCTCTTGTGGACTTGTTTCAATTTTCTTCAGCTTCAACTTGAGCAGTTCGTGGTCTGTTCCAAAGTCAGCCCTTGGCCTTGTTCTGACTGTGATATTGAGCTTCTCCATTGTCTCTTTCCACAGCTGTAGTCGAATTGATTCCTGTGTATTCCATCTGGTGAGGTCCACATGTACAGCTGTCGTTTATGTTGCTGAAAAGAGGTATTTCCAATGAATAGGTCGTTGGTCTTGCAAAATTCTATCATGCGATCTCTGGTGTTGTTTCCATCACCAATGCCATAATTTTCCAACTACCAATCCTTCTTTATTTCCAACTTTCGCATTCCAATCACTAGTAATTATCAAGCATCTTGACTGAATGTTTGATCAATCTTAGAGTGAAGAAACTGATAAAATTCTTCAGTTTCTTCATCTTTGGCATTTGTGGTTGGTGAGTAAATCTGAATAATAGTTGTTTTCACTGGTCTTCCTTGTAAGCGTATGGATATTATCCTATCACTGACAGTGTTGTACTTTAGATCTTGAAATTTTCTTTTTGACAATGAATGTGAACATTCCTCTTCAATTTGTCATTCCCAGCATAAGAGACTATAGGATTGCCTGATTCGAAATGGACAGTATCAGTCCATTTCAGCTCACTATTTCCTAGGATCTTCAAGCATTCTATTTAATTTATGGCAACTTCCAAATTTCTTTGGAAACGCTGGTGGCGTAGTGATTAAGTGCTATGGCTGCTAACCAAAGGGTTGGCAGTTCGAATCCACCAGCAGCTCCTTGGAAACTCTATGGGGCAATTCTACTCTGTCCTATAGGGTCGCTATGAGTCGGAATTTTCCTAGATTCATACTTCGTATGTTCCACATTCCAATTGTTAGTGGATGTTTGCAGCTGTTTCTTCTCCTTTGGAGTCGTGCCACATCAGCAAATGAAGGTCCCAAAAGCTTTACTCCATCCACGTCAATAAGGTTGACTCTACTTTGAGGAGGAAACTCTTCTCCACTTGTATTTTGAGTGCTTTCCAACCTGAGGGGCTCATCTTCCAGCACAATATCAGACTCTGTCCTATTGCATTGCTATGAGTTAAATCGACTCAATGGCAACGGGTTTGGTTTTTTTTTTTTTGATTAGACTGGGATAGAGGAAGGAAACACACAAATGTTGATTTCAGTAGGATTAATTGTCTCAAATAAAGACTGTAATATAAGATCTGAAACTGGTATTAGACACTGTCAAGAACTTACTTGTATTCCACTAAAATTTTAATCTGACATTTACTGGGTACTTTCTCTGTTGAGACATTGTGGTAGATGCTTTTAAACCCACCTTATTTGGAAAAGTAATAAAAATGTCTCTACTTTTGAGTAAATAAAGCCTCAGTTTTAAATAAATTACCAATTTTTTTCTCAGTTACATGATAGTTTTTGCATACTAGCAACCTTCCATTTTATTATTAATTTCAGTTTTCATTCTAGCTGACAAGTGAATAATGAACCTAGATATTAGAAAAAAAAGTTGTTTACCCTAAAAAAATTTTTTTGGTTCACTAAATATCAGTTTGGATGATTTTTTGTATCTTGTTCGTGTGGGAATTTAATTCCAGGACATTTTGATTTAAATCAGGTAAACCAATCAAACAAGTCAAAAAAAAAAAGATGAATGTTCAAGTCAGTTTCTATTTAAATTGAATTGATTAAATACTTATCAGTGAATCTTCTGGAGATTGGTAGAGTATTTAGTGCAAGGTATAGATCAAGCTTCCCCCACCACCACCACCAAAATGTCCTTTGCATGGCATAATGGCAGAACATTTTATTCTTTCAGGTTATCAGTTCATAATAGAGACTTAATATATATTTGTAAGCCTATTGTTTATTATTGAATGAATTCCCTGAAAATTGATTGTCTGTAACCATAGACTATCTATAAAATAGGCTACAGGTTAGTGGGCATCCCCCAAGCTTTCCTAATAGGCCTTGAAACCTGTGCTGGAGAACGCTCACTCTGTCTCAGGATACTGCTCTGTGTTGTGTTTCTTTGGAAACAGAAAGCCATATCCAACTAGGATGTGCATTCAGAATTATTCACACAGTCTCTTCGTGAAGTGATGTAACTGGTTGACATTTTTGTGCTCCAGAGCTAATGAGATATTGGTATCTAAAAAAGGTCATAGAACAATTCTACACCAATGCACACTGTAACAGCTAAAGCACCAAGAAATATTTCATCTAGTGTTTCTCTTCTCTCCATTCAGACTTGTTTCTCTAATGTACTCTGGTTCTGATATATGCATCTTGCTTAGAACTTGGGAAATTATTGAACATATATTAATGAACAAGAATAAAATTATCTAACATAAATTAAGTGCTTACTGTGTGCAATCCTTGTATTAAATATTTTACATACATTGTTCCTGTACTCTTTATGCCCAGTCTGAGTTAGATCCCAAAATGATCTTCCTTTTACTGACAAGGAACCTGATCCTCTAGAGAGGTTACCATGCCTAAGACTGCCTCAAACTAAACCAAACCCTTTGCCGTCGAGTCGATTCCAACTCATAGCGACCCTATAGGACAGGGTAGAACTGCCCCATAGGGCCTCCAAGAAGTGCCTGGTGGATTCGAACTGCCGACCTTTGGGTTAGCAGCTGTAAGCGCCACCAGGGTTTCCCAAGACTGCCCTGCACCTCCTAAAACATAGATTTCAACCCAGATAGTCAGACTCTAGGCCCCATCTCCCGTATTTAACACTGCACCATCCTGCCCCAGTGAATGAACTGCTGCTGTGAGAACTGTGTTATCCTTGCTCCTGATAGCATCCATTTCTTTAAGCTCCAAGTCCACACAAGAAAGACCAAATTCACAACATAGCAACGTGAAGTCTCCTGGAAGGCAAAACCTTTGTCTTTTTCCCAAATACACTTCTGCTTCCTGTTAAATTACCTTCCCACCCGGTGGTCTTGTGAAATGGAAAAGCACACATCTTTCCAGATTCTTGGCACTCCATTGGAATTCTCCTCTCTATTATTCAGTTTACCTCATTCAAAACATCTTTTCTAAAAGTTAAGGAATGGTTCTTGTGTGGTTTGAATTATACTTTCTTTCTTCAGACTATTAGCTGCCTTAGTCTTTGAAGTAGGTTATTAGAAACGTCTTTATGTCCA